CTCTCTTCATTTGAGGAGTGGCTCAGAGACTCAGCTGGAGTTCAGATACCTCTCTTAAGATCAATCTGATCAGTTTATAGCCACGTGTTGTATATAAAGTTTTTTCTAGGGCCGGCCCGGTGGCGCACTGCTACAGTGCGCCGCTTGGGAGCACGGTGGCGCTCCCGTCGAGGGTTTGGATCCCACCTACAGACCGGTTCCCGCTCACTGGCTGAGCGAGGTGTGGGAGCAACACCGAGGGTTGCAATCCCGTTGCCGGTCCCGGTCCGGTACGGGCGTGACACTGAGGGTTACGATCCGTTGCCGGACACGAAAAAAGACAAAAAGGAAAAAAAAAAAAAAAGTTTTTTCTAAACACTCATCAATATAAATTCCTGTCCTGAAGGGGGGGGGGGAGCGCAGTATTTGAGAAAATGGAAGGAGACAAACCAGTTAGTTAATTAAACTTTATGAAAGAGGAAATGTAAAGGCCACTGGCAAAATCCACCCCCCAAAACAAACTAAAAATTTTAAGACTATCCTTTTCAAAGTATATATTATGCTGTAAGTCAGCCAACCACAGTTAAAGTAATCAGTTCAGTTTTCATGGGACACATATCTAATGACCCAAGGGCTCATCATCTCCAGTGTTGTGAATTTGAACATACAAATTTTTCCACCTTTAAATAATTCTGAGTTTATCCTGAAAGTGTTAACCCACGAACTAGCAAAGCCTTCCCAATGATATCTTTGACCTCCAAAATATTTCTTAAAGAATCAATTTCACTTCTCTGAGAGACCAGATACCAAGAAAGGGCTGGATAATTGGTTATGTAAGACCATCAAGATCACATGGACTCATTTAGGGCCCCCAAATATATATCTGCCAATCAGAAAGCTCAGGTAAATGCGAGGTTTACTTTGTGCTTTCTGGTTATGAGGGTTGACTCTGACTGCCCTGGCAAGGATAAGGGGCAGTTTACCAGTGTTTTTATGATGTTCTATAAAAGTGAAGAAAGGTACATTAATATATAGCTGGGATATTAATCAATTTTCTAATTATTGTTCGTGTAGTTTAACAGATTAGTTGTTACAGATAATTTCCTACATGTGGTGAAATATCAGTGAACATATGTCTGGGGTAGTTTTTTTTTTTTTTTTTGTCTTTTTTTCCATGTCCGGCAACGGATCGCAACCCTCAGTGTTGCCCCCGTACCGGACCGGGGACCGGCAACGGGATCGCAAGCCTCGGTGTTGCTCCCGCGCCTCGCTCAGCCAGTGAGCGGGAGCCGGTCTGTATGTGGGATCCGAACCCTCGGTCGGGAGCGCCGCCGCGCTTCCCAAGCGGCGCACCATCCAGTGCGCCACCGGGCCGGCCCCCTGGGGTAGTTCTTTTATGTTACCTGTGTTTATCAACTTTTGTCTAGAAACCACTGGAAATTGCCTTTCCAACTAACCCTCTCATAAATAGCTTGATTCAAACATCTCATTGGTCCCTTCCCAGTTGAGAGTAAATAAATTAACACTGAGCAGCCATGTATTCCTTTAACTTGTTCCTTCCCAGTTGAGAGTAAACAAAGTTGATGCTAACCAGCCATTCATTCCTCCAACTGGTCTCTTTTGAATTGAGGCTAAACAAAGCTGACACTAAACAGTCATTAGTCATTACCTCTGCAGTCATCTTCTTCCTGGCCCTTCCCCTTCTTCACCCTCCCATACACCCTCCGAAACACTCTTGAACACAGCTTTGATCTTCTTTTGCCAATTCTGCATTTAGACCCTTCCAGTTCCCTTTACCCAACTCCCATTGGAATCTAGAAGGAGCTCTGTCAGTCATTTTCCATTGTTTTTATAAACTAGGGCTCTAAGAATTAAGGTATTAGCAAATAAGTGAAGAAATTATTTCAGGGAAGAGAATCTTCCTAAGTCTCAATCAGGCTTTTCTCCCTCTCAGTCACTGATTCCCTGATTTCCTAGGGATGAATAGTATAAGTCTGGTCAGGCTCAGTTACTTTGGAGTCCTATTCTTTGGAGGCTGCATGCCTTGAACTGAAGTCTTTCGGGACTTATGGTCTCACCAACCTCACCTGCAGGTTCACCAACAGGCCCACTCCTGTCTTGCCAACCCTGGTCTATTCCTCCAGAGCAGGGCACGTTATGGCATGAGGAGGGAGTTCCTTCCTGTTTTTAACTAAAGATGATTCTTTGATGCATCTATTAAGTTTCCTAGCATTCTGGATGTTATTTTAATTCGTGGCACCCACCTTATCATTTTTATAATGCTAATGAGCTATCTAACAAAAAATGTTACTAGAATGACAGGAATGAATTTTCCTTAGCAGCAAAATTATTATTTCCGTAGGTATTTTTATTGCGTTGTGCATGAAATGGTGCAAAACATACCACTTTGATTTCTCATCTTCTCAAAGAGCTTTGTACTATCTGAGAGCTTGTTAAGTGTGCTGTTGCACAGAGCCATCCTCTTTTACCACCGGGTGGTAAGTTTTCATCACTGAATATGTAAGTTGGATGCCATTTCCCATCCTGATTAGTACTCACAGGATTTGTAAAAACATCACTCCAGCTTTCACTGTAGTCATCTACCCTTGTTTCAATAATTTTGCTTTTGGCATATGACTACAGATGGTTGAGGTTTACAATGAAAGCTAATGTGAACTTTAGAATCTGTACTAAGATAGACACACCGCTCAGAGGATTCTCAGGCTTTTCCATCTCCATCCGGTGCTTTTTACATCAGAGAGAATAGTAAGAAACCACATCGTTGTTTTTCTAGGTTCTCTTAAAAGCGCTTTAAGGTGAGAAGTCTTTATGGGCATTCAATGAAGAAATGCATAAGCAAAGGTTTAAGAAAACTTCTGCTGAATGACTGGACTTAATAGGAACAAAGAAGCTATGCTATCTAACTTGAATGTTGTATAATCCCCCTTTCTTAGAATTCCTTTTAAATTTCTTAAAATATAACTCATTAAAGATCATGATAATTACATGAATTTATCTTTGCACAGCTATTTTGAGGTTCTCTATGAAGATGCTCATAGTTTGCCTTCCTTAGAAAAATCTTATGTGGGTTGAAGATTAGTTTTCTTAACAAATTCTTACCTTTCATTTTTAATAGAATAATCATGAAAGTAGTTGGCATTAGCAGCGAGCATCTTTGAATTCTTCATATTGATTTGTGCCTCTCATATTGGTGGATGGATATTGGATATGAGGTTGACTGTGAGAATAGAAGTGATTTGTCTGAAGACCAGTTCAGCCTTTAGGAAATAAATATATGAACTTACAGAAGATTAGAAAATCTGTGGTAATATTTGTACTCATTTTTAATATACCCATAGAATCATAGATAGTAGAACTGAAAGAAAGCATCCACTTTAGCCTCCCAATTTTATAGATGAGGACTCTCTGAGCCCAGAGAAGATGAGTGGCTCCTTCAAGGTTACATAGATAAGGAAAATCAAATCCTAGGTCTTATTGATCCCAAATTCAGTGTTCCTTCCACCAAATTTAAGCCCATTTATTGATTGAAATCCAAGCATTTCTAATTTTTCTCTGTTTTTATATTATCAGTTTTACTCGTTTGAGAAATCCATATTACTTTTACTGGTTCTGTATTGGGAACATTAAATATCTTGGTTTCTAATTCTATATCACGCTGAAAGTACTTGCATTCATTTATACTTTGTGTCTGATCAATGTATAGTTGTTTTGTCCACAAACTATCTAATTTCTGTTTTATATTTTAAGTTCCTGGACAACAAGAACATTGACAATTTTCTACTTGGTACAGTCCACATAAAGGGCACTTTGGGACCGTATTTAAAGAAGTGTCTTAACACAAATTGCTACTTCTTTCAAGTTTTTTTTTTTTTTTTATAACGATGTCTTTCTGCTCTGGGGCAGCCCCATGTCTGTGTTCTCTGTGTCATATAGTCCCTGTGGGCATTTGCTAAGTGATAGTCATTGCAATTGGAATTATTATTGTAGCTTCATCCCTTCTGTTTCCTTTTATTAAGCCCACTCTTCTACCAACTAGCTGAAGAAGGTAATCCCATGAAAGACATTCTATTTTTATATAGTCTTTAAAGGACTGGTTTTGGTTCATCATAAAATACAACATAATTATAGAATCTGAAAATTAGAAAGAACATTAGAAAGCAATCTCTTGAGCCTGCCCTGGAAAAAATATTTTAAATAAAAGTAAAGAAGTCCTCAATAACCCTTCCACTTCTACCATAGGTTATAACCACTAAAAACAGTTATTTTATATATGGTATAAATCATTATTGTAAAGGAATCCCGTGACTTACATTTATGTCTCCTGTGGAAAGATTATTTGACAAATTATGGGTGCTGTACAATATAGGTTAAAAAAAAAAAGAATCTGTTTTCTTAAGATCTTTTAATAACTGCTTATATTTTGAAAAATATTTTTTTGCTTCTCCTAAAATGTTTAATAGAATGAATTATCATGAAATGAAAGAAAGTGAATGATATCAGAATTAATTAAAGTCAACCTCGGGAATGATTTGCCTTGAAGGGTAAATAGGGAAACAAATGTTCCCAGGCAAGCTGTAAGACACTCTACCAGGGTTTACTTGCCATTGCCCATTGGAAGTGATTATAATTTCGGGGTGGGGTGGCAGGGAGACAAACCTTGCTTCCAGAGGAGATGCTTTTGAGTTCAAATACAAAGCATAATCTGGTGCCTGACTACATCCTCAAATTTTATAGCACTCTTTGACCAAAGGAGAATTATATTGAGAATTTATATTTATACTGATTATACTGATAATATATAGCTAGCACTCCTGAGCTGGAACCTCCTTTGTTATTTAGGAAATGTCCTTGAGAAATAACCTTCTCGATTCCATATTCCTGCGGGCAGCACATGGAGATGGAGGGCCAAAAGTAATATCAAGTCAGAAAGCTGCACAGCATTCAGGCCAAATCCGTTGGAGAGGAAAGCTGTTCCCATGATTAGCGAGCTTCCCCAGCTAGCCTGTAGGTGGGTGTGTTTAACAGAAGGAAGCAATGGGAACCCGCCTGTCAGCCAGTCTTTCGAGCTAATTAGCTCAGCATACAACAAAGATAAGTGAGCCTGGGAGCAGGGCCCCCTGAGGGGTCTTTAGATTCTGGGAAATGTCTGATTGGCAGATGTTAAAAGGGATTCTTTGGTAATCCAGTGCATCAATGAGCTGCACAAATTCAGTCCAGGACTGCAAGAATTCAGGCATGAGGACACTGTGCAGGAGGCTCACACAGGCAGACCCAAGATGGACAGAACCTTGGAATCTCTGAGACACATCATTGCCCAAGTCTTGCCTCACAGAGACCCAGCTCTAGTCTTCAAAGACTGTAAGTACTGAAATGGAGAAAAGTTTTCTGACTTTTAAAAAAAAATAGTCTTAAACATCCAGTCACATCCTATTTAAATACGGTTTTTCCTAAATCTCTGTAGTCGTGTGCTGTGTGTCTAAGTGATATTTAACTTGTTCCTGACTTCAGTTAGAAGAATGATTTCATTTCACCTACAGGCATTAGGACCTGGGTTATTTTGTCAGTGATACATCTTGCTAACTGTTTAGAAGTTTCTCCTTCTAAAATCTGAGAACTGCATAAGACTTAATGTACTTTTTCAGATAATTTTTAAATAAAGCAAGGCTGGCGGGTACTGAGATTGAAACTAAAAACAACTTGGAAATGATAAAAAAATATATATTTGTTAACCTGTTTAATCCTTCACAACACATATTAGCTATGTTAAATCAAGTATTGTGTTTTTCTGAAATTTTTTGTTGTAAACAAGTTAACTTTACAAAAAAAAAGACCACTGAGCTCTTAGATTTTGATAACAAATTATAATAGTTTAGTTAAAAGGCCGATAAAATGAGATTCTTCCCAACCTCAGCGATACTCCCTGTGTCTCCCCTCCCCACCCCACACACACGCCCAAATCTACACAGTATGGAAAAGCTTGTTCAAAATATTCTTTTTTAATGATTATGAAAAATAATTCAATCAAGCTTTCCAATTCTAGCAATACTATTAAACGTTGGCCATATAACTTCATTTCTGGAACCAATTTGATTTCTTGCTGCTGCAAAACAGACTATCTTCCCGTTGTATCTTATCTACAGTGGGTTTCATATTACAAAGCGCTTCTGAAATGGAACTTTGCTTTGGGACTGCCCAAAAGGTGAAATGCATATGGATTTTTTTTTTAAACCTCAATAGGTTACAGCTTTCCTCTTTGTGAATCTAGTTATGTTTGTCTCCATCAAAACATCAGTGGTTTGGATTTTTGCTTTCTGATTGCTGAATAACGTTCCTTTCCAGATGTCTGTCCTTTTAATTTATATTTCTCATATGTGTAATGAAGAAAGAGAAATGTTAGGCCACTTTATTCTATAAATTTTTTCTCTTAGAGATTAAATTGTCACTAATCTGCCCTCTAAAGCATAAAATGAAAGCCTTTTCTTTCCTTCTTTTATTTTTTTAAATATTGTCTTCAAGCATTTGTCAATAGCTATGTTAGAACTAATAAAAGTCACTCCCTCCCCTAGTCTAGACTGGAGTCTGTTCAGGTTTGGTATGCTTCTTTAAGTGAAAAGTGAAGGAAAGAATGTCTCTCTCGTACAATAGCACTGAATTCACTAGTGGAGGATAAAAGGACTCCTGGGCTGTCCAAAGACTCGGATAAATTGTATAGGACCAGGGGTCTCATGCTGAGGGTTTGGATAGTAGAAGCAGTAAAAAGCAATAGAGAAAAATTTTTCACTGAGCTCACTGTAAATTTAAGAAGTTTAAATCTGCACTCATATGGCCCATAGTTCAAGCTGAACTAAATGGCAATTGTACATGAAGTTCCATCACCCAGAACTTTCAGGAATTCTTTTATATGGAAAAACAGAAAAGTATCCTATTTACTATATTTCATTCATTTACATAGAACCTAAATTTGACCAGATAGTATTGCCTGCTTACCCTAGAATGGACTGCCACTCGGCAACTGCTAGTATGGTTAATAGGTGTAAATATTAAGCTGCTGATCTTCTTTCTTCTGGCTTTTGTAATCTGAAAATGACTAAATGAAAGTAAGCCAAATGGTAAATTTCTACTAGGAGTTTTTGTAACATCGAAACATCCAACCACTCACCATCCTATGGAGTAAGCGGGAATGGGTTTACTTACTTTCTGGGGCAGGACATCCAAGAGACTGTCTGGGAACTATGCCATCCCCTGGTATGTAAGCCCATTTTCTTTGGCATACCCATAAGTCGCTGCTACCACACACCTGCTGGCAGCCCATGAAAAGCTGCCACCAGCTTTGAATGGCAGGTTCAGAGTAGCACCATGTCCTAGTCACTCCTGGCTCCTCCCCCATCTCTACCCCTCCAATCACTTTCTGCCAGAAGAAAAGGCTGAGCACTTGAGCACATCACTGCCAATTCCTTAAGAAAAAATTACTACCTTGCTTTCCTGCAAGATGAAAAGCTGTTCTGAGAATTTTTAAAACCATCCCAGTTGAACAAAGGAGCATTAAAAAAAAAAAAAAAAAAAAAAAACTTTTAGACTTTTTCCAAAGTTCTCTTCTGTGAATGCAAGGGTAGTTCTTTATCTTTTCACTCTTTGAACACACATAATGTAAGGAGAGTAAATGATCCCTCATTTGGCTTTTGATTTGCGTAAAAACAAGCAATAGTAACTGAATTTTCTCTTCACGTTGGTCAGAAAAGCACATAGAGTTTTCTGGTCTGAGACAGATCCACATGGGAATAGTTACATTCATTTAAGAAAATAAAATTCAAATGCTTTTCTCAGCCAAGGAGGCCCTTCAAATGGCATTTTGCAATACGTTAAATCTTGTCATTTTATTTTATGCAAGGTGTTCATCTGGCAATAGTTGTGATTTGGTTTTTATTTTCTCTCCTGGAAGGAAATGAATTCTATAACACACTTTTTTTTTTCTTGTCCCTATTTTACATTTCAAACAAAAAACAATGGAAGAAGGTTTCAAATAAGGTGGGCTCTCAATTTGAAGTTTGCTCATCTAAACTGACACTGGACTGTTCTCCATTACACAAATGTTTCTATTTTGTAACAAGTGTTACTGGAAGTCTCCATACCACCAGACAGAATCTCTTTGCAGAGAAAGTATGGCATATCTCCATGTTGCCTTCCATTCTTGGCTTTGTGCAATATCCAATTTCTTTTCAAGTGCCATGCTTCACAACCAAACATGAGATATCCTAAAAGCAGCCCCTGGCCACTCTTTTGGGGGAGTGTGTGAGCTCACTATTTGTTTGCCACTGTTTGACAGTTCCTCACGTGCTCTCCCAAAAGAAATCACCACATGATTTCAAGAAGGTTAAGCTTTCAGATCCTGATGTGAGTGTTAACTCTTCAACTTATCATCCATTTAATAGCGACACTAGGATGTCAAGTTCCCATGTGATAGGCATTATGCTAGAAACATCTATTCTTCTCAGCCAGCCGGTCATGTAGGTACTATTGTTATTTATAGGTGAGGGAACTGAGGCTCAAGGTAGTTATGGTGATTTGCCCAAGGTCACACAGCTAGTAAGTGATAGAGCCAGGATTCAAAGTCTGTCTTCAGTCACTCCTCACCTTTAGCCACTGCAAGACATTGTCCCTCAGAAAAGGACATGCTAGTTACCATGTCCTTAGTGTTGCAGTGGCAGTATCTGTTAAGAAAACAGAGCGAGGAGAGAAGTGAATTCTTCTGGGAGTGTAGAGGGAACCCACTAAACAGTCACATCTGAACAGGAGTACGACAGGAAAGTGGAGAGGGGAAGGGCATTTTTGAAGAGAGGGAACAGCTTTTCCAAAGGCACATTGGGCAGTATAAGAACAATGCATGGGGGAGGCAGAGACAGGCTGAGAAGGCAGGTGAGGCAATGGGGAGCTGTTGTAGTTAATGGTGATCCTAGATTAGTTCTAGAAGTTTATGGCCTTATGTTGCATTAGGGAAAAGTTTATATTGACATCTGTTAGAAGTACACTTCCTGATACCTAAATTAAGGAGAATTGCAGCTTTTTCTCAGCAAGAATCCATTTGCCAAGTCAGGCAACATGCAAGATTTGTGAATGTCAAACATGCCTATGAGGAGAAACCACTGATCGCCAAAATCAAGGCAAACTTTTGACAATCAAAAAGATTGTCAAAAAGGTATCTTAGTTGTCATTGCAGCTATGAGAATGTGTTGATTTCTAGTATTGACTTATAAAGTGTCATGTTAGATTTTACTAATATTTTTCCCCAGATTTTATAATGAAAAAGTAAGATGGAGCATTTACTAAACATTGCACAATTGGAAGCAAATTTCTTATATATTTGAGGTGCATTAACTCTTCCATTTGGGGAAACATTTTTCTGCATGAAAGGTTTTATTTACATAGATAGATGAATACTATACTTCAAAGAATACATTTTTACCCTTTGAAAAAATTGGACCAAGCTATAGGACTATTAAAAACATCCTAGTAATCAAGAATCTATCTGTATGCAGCATGAGAGAACAAAAATCCTCGAGTCAAGTATTTTCTCCATCCCATTCTTTTTAGTGTAGTTACTTGAAATCTATAAATTTGATGATACATTTACAGTTTTCGCATTTAACAGAAAGGGATGGAGTAGGATGTAAGGAATGAAGGTTCTTGTGCAGTAAAATCCTGACATACACTGTGTAGCGTTCCACCATGTAAAGTGTGCCTGAAAGAATACAGTTTAAAACAAGCCCTCCACTACTTGCTAGCTGATTTAAGAATAATGACTGCATCTTAATTACAATAATTTAAACTCTGATAATCTTAACATCTAAAACTGTGGATGTCAGTTCGACTGAAGCTTACTTTATTTATTACAGGATACAACTATCTTTGTTTGAATTTATACTAAGAGAAAAATGCAGATTTCAGTTCAGCTGTCAGTGGCATAAGAGCTATTCTCTCTCTCTCTTTTTTTTTTTTTCCTCCCCCAGTAAATACACACTTGGCAGAGTTTCAACACTGAAAGTCTCTGCCCCAGAGGAAAATTTTTCAAAATGGAAAAAACTAGGTAGCTTCTTGATCACTTAAAGGCCATATGTGTCCTAGTACATTTATTTCTTATATATAAATAAGATTTAACAGTTTAAAATAAGATATGATAGACATCCATTCTGTGATATCAAACCTGGGGCCACTTCATGGACTGTTGTCTCATCTCCAGAGGTTTTTTTTTTTTTATTTTTAACAGTTAAGATTTGTTAGCTTGAACTCAATTTTAACAACTTCTGAAACTCATGTGTTAAGTTACAGCCCATAATAGGATACAGCTGCATAAGGGTGAGTTT